ACTGCTCATGCCAGAAGTGATGTGCTAAGGGAATTTTGTCTGAGGTAAGTAAAAGGCATTACCCTTCTGTTCAAGTATGTGTCTGTTGATTCACACAAAGCAGGTACTGTAATTTCATGTGGGTGGCTCTTTGTTGGATATTCTCTTGGATAATGTAACATCTCACAGCTTCTATTAATCTGGCAATATCTCGCTAGTAACAGGAGTTAATGAAGGCCCCACCTTGGTTGTCTGTCTCTTCCAGTCTCCTGCGTGGTGAAATTCAGTATTTCAGCTTTTGTCTTCCTCCTGTGATCACGGACGATGATTCGTAAGACCAGCAGTCGTCATTGGTTAATTTATTCAAAATTTACTTTAGCTATTCAGAAATCTACTTTAATTGACTGAAATAAATTATTACCTTTTAAAACTGCACTCCCATGTCCGTTATAGGAGAGAACCTTACACTGAATTTTTTGCTCTGTTGTCACTGCTTATATTGAGGAAGGTCCTGCTGGTATTTCACCTTTTCTGAAATTGTAGGATGCCGATTGAAGTAATTTTTATGTTAATCTATTAATTTTATCTGTATTAAATGGACTCAGAAGAAGTTGAGAGGGGAAATGTTTGATGTTCTGTATTTTCATAATCTTATTAAAAGTAGCCATTTCTCAGAATATGTCCTTGAATTAGACAATGCAGTAAAAAGTAATTTTGATGAAAAGATACAGTGTCAAAGATTAGATCTGAAAAAATATAATCATTATGTGAAGTTGTTACAGTGAATTGTTTTTGCCAGCCGTCAGAGGATACCTTGCGACACGAAACACGGAATGGGAAACAATTGTGTATTTTTTTCCACTGCCTATGCAATATGGGCTGTTCAGTGAGTTGCTTTTTCCGTCTTTACTAATCAAGCTTCCATGAAACTGAGAAGAGCCTTGAACAGAAACAAATCCTCGGGTTTCCAGCCGTGAGCTAAATACCAGCTCTTCAGCTCCTACAGAGCTGTCCCTGGCAGAGCCCGGCTGTGCCCCAGCCATCCAGCAGTCTCACTGTCCAGGTCCACAGAGCTTCCCTCCGGCTTTCGTCAAGGTACAGGGAGATTCCTCATCCCTCTCCTTCCATTTCCCCAGCAGTGGCTTTCACCTGAAAATCCTTCATTCCCTCCGAGTGGGTCCCTTACGCGTTGCTGTCTCCTTTCTGACTAGTTTAACTTCTTCTGAACTTCAGCATAGGACGTGTAGCACTTGGTGGCTCTGGGGCAGCAAGGTAGGTAGGAGACAGGAAAAGAAATGCTCTTTAAAGGCAGCTTGACACCTGCGGCAGGAGGTGGAGCACACCCAGTGCAGAGGTGACGGGACAGTACCCTCTAGAGGGCTCGGCTGAGCACAGGTGGTTACTTCGAAATAAATAACCCGTGTGCCAGTGACTGTGGTCCTAACCCCTTCCGGACGATGTGTGTGGTACAACTATCTGAACCAAAGAAACAGAAACCAGCACTGCTGGAATCTCATTCCTCCTGCTGTGCGTCACTGGCAGCATTTGTGCGGCACGAAGTCTGTTTAACAAGCCTGCAAAGCCTCGTTCGTGCAAGCACACGGCAAACACGGGCTTTGGTTTGGGTCCCTCAAGTGTTTCTGTTTCCCAGAATGGTTTCTGAGTGTGGGAAAAGTTAGCTTGGCAATATGACGTGTATTTCTGGAGATCAATTTTGCATCTGTTCACTTGATCAACACGCTTGTGTGCCGTCCTGTTTTACCTGTAATCAATGGTGCCAGCTCCTCTTGCACAAAACCCGCATTCGCCGGGTTTGGACTCGCCGCTCGCCCCACTGGAGGCCGCTCCCTCGGCACAGAGCCCCCTGCGGCCCTGCTGGGGCGGGGGCAGGTGAAAGGCACCCTCCCCTTGGGCCACCCCAGGGAATTTTGGCCCCTCACTTGCCTATACTATACTGTACTGTACTATACTGTACTATACCGTACTATACTGTACTAATCTTGGAAATAATGATAAAAAAGCTGCGCAGAAGCAAAAGCAACTCCCAAAAGACAGCAGCTAACAAGAGATGATTTGTTTGTTGAGTTGCTCCGAGCTATTGCAGCAGCCCAGCAATGGAGTTTTTTTGCAAACTGTAGTCAGGAATGTTTTTAAGGAGCAGTTGTATGTGGCTGGAAGAGTTTGTGTTAATTTTCTTCACAGTACAGATCTTCTTGTATCCAAAAGTAGATGTTCCAGGTACTTTCACATGTACTTCATTTGTCACAGGTTGAAGGCAAATATTGCTGTTAGTATTATTGTTTTATGGAGGAGAACTTTGTAAAGATCCTGTAAACTATATTTCCTTCTAGCTTCTTTTTCTTGTCTGTTCAAAACCAGATCCCTAGTTTGTGCATTTCCAGCGTAAACCGATGAAGGTCTGTTAAGTTTTTGTGAATCACGAATGGAAACATTCATTTTGCAGTCATGGTTCTGTATCGTTCGCGTTTCTTTGTGTCAGGCCTGGGCAGACACTCAGCTGATGCCAACTCTCTGAGCTTTCACGCAGTGCTGAGGTTCTGCAGTCTGGGCTGGGCTCGTGTTCAGCTGCCATGGAGTCTTAGAGCTCAGCTCCACTAGAGTGCCTGGCACCTTATTAAAAAACAAAAGCATAGCCAGGATGCCCCAAAAAGATTATGATCTGCCCTGAATGCTCAGAAATTGTGCTTTAAATTTCATTATCAACTATCATAATGTATCATCAACTTTTCTACCTGGAGGCACGTGTTGGCGTGGCTGTGTACTTTCTTTTTAAGCATTTACACCTACAGAATGGAAGAAAACCTACACACGAGATTCTGCTTGCATCAGACAGAAATAGAGTTTTATTAGCAACGTTTCTGCTGCAGGACAACCCAAGCAACAAACAGGTTGAATCCATAAAGCAAGGAGCACAGGTGCCGGTGGCTGGAGCCCCAGAGCAGGGCAGGCAGGAGCAGGGCGAAGCAGGGCGGGCAGCGAGCAGGCTCCCGGCCAGGCGCTCTGGGGGGCCTTCGCGGGAGGAGGGCGTCAGCCAGGAGCATCGGTTTTGCCTCAGGAGCGTGGGCAATGCAGAGCCTTTGGGCCGGTCTCTGTTTGAAGGGTCTTGCACTGTAGGATCCTCAACGTATTCTCTTAGTCATAAGCTTTTCTTCCACAGCCTGTGTAGAAATAAAGCAAGCATTAATTTCTTCAGTGCTGGCACTGGAGCTCTGAGGCACCAGTACCCACCAGAGAGAAACGCTTGATTTTGTGAGAGGTGACCGTAAGCATTCCAAAATCGTAAGGGAAAACTTGGGCACGGTACGAAAGCAGCGGTGTTTAGGAGGTTCTGCAAAGAATGAGAGCTGCAGAAAAGCAGCTGGGGTTTTAACTGCCTGGGTAGCTGATGTGACCCACAAAACTGAATGGAAATTGTGTGTTTATTAAGTGGAGTTGATTCTTCGCACACAAATAGGAAAGAATTTTTAGGAAAATAGACCCAACACTGCCCAGAAATGCTGTTTGTCTCTGGCCGAGTACGTTGATACAGCGTGTGAGTTAGTAAGAATGGGTGCGTACAACAGGTCTCACCTTGGCTTTCTCCACCAGTCCGGCCTGACTGGGAATGGGAAGATGAAGAGTAGGAGTGGGAGCTGCTGACGCCGCCTGAGATCCTTCCTCCTCCTCCTCCTCCAACAATACTACCGCAGCCACTGCCGCTTCCCCCTCCTATTCCTCCACTTCCACCTCCCATTCCTCCTCCCGCACTTCCTCCTCCGCTTCCTCCTCCC